GGCCACTCCGCACGCAGCCCGCGCTTCGGTCCCGCTCCGCGGCTCCATGGCGCCCGCCCGCCCGCTCCTGCCCCTGCTGCTGCTGCTGCTCTGCGTGGGCCTCCCCGCAGCCGTCGCCGAGTCGGTAGGTGTTTGGGGGTGGGGGTGACCGGGGCGAGCGCTCCCTTTGTGCCGGAGGACGTGGGATCGCGGTGGCGTGGGGTGCTCGGAGTCCCCGATTGGACTCCGAGGCCGGGCAAACTTTGTTGGGAACTCCGCTCCGGGGTGGCAGGCAGCGGGCAGCGCGCCGGCCTCGGCCCCCGCCGCGGGCTCGGAGGTGACCCAGCCGGTGTCAGCTCAGCTCCCCCGCCCTCACCCTTACGCGGGGATTCTTGGGGGGGCCGGCTGCGGGCGCGGAGCACCCCTCCCCACCCCCGCCAGCTCCCTCTGGACGCCCAGGACCCTAGATGGCTTGGAGATGAGGGGTGCAGGGGAGGTGTCCACGTTCGGAGCGGGGGTTGGAGGCTCGTGGGGGCCGTGATTCACACACCGGGTAAGGACAGCTGAGTCCTGACCTTAGACCCAGCCACGGCCCGGCCAGTGACCTCGGGAGGGGTGGAGGCCCTGCCTCTGGGAGTCCCAGGGAAGGGGGAATGAGGCAAGCAGCGACTGCTAGAAAGTTGAGGGCATCTTCCGAGGGCCGACAGGAGGAATGGCTTAGGCGGTGAGCCTCGAGCTTTCTGCAAGGAAGAAATCGTTTCTGTTGAGGAATTGGAACATGTACCCTGCGCGGAGTGGGTAAGGGTGGGAGGTGGAGAAAAGAAGGTCCCAGAGAGACCAGAGAAATCTCTCTCTTTCACTTGTCCATTGGTGCAATCCTGGGCCACCAGAAGCCCCATCCCAGCAACCAGAAAGGGAGTTAGGAGACCATCTCCTTTGGAAAGTTAGGGGTGCAGGAATTGCTGGGAGAGTTGATCTGATCCCCAGGAGCTTAGATTTCGTGTTCGATATAGCCTCGTGTGTGTGTGTGGGGGGGGGGGGAGAAGGCATTCCCTGGAGTTTAAATCATTCATGTTCATTCCTTTGAAAGCGTGGATTCCCTTTCCCTTCTGCCCTTAGGGGAAAGTTAGTTTTGCCTGCAGGCCCTTGTTGAGAATGGATGAGCCCCTGAGCAATGCCTCTGGCACAATTTAAAACCTTGGGTGAAGGTGGAAATATGTAGCCTGTTTAGTATGCCCCTCTCAGTTCTAATAGCTTTGTAAATGGCTCTACAACTTGCTTAATTCTAACAACCCCACTATTTACTGTTCTAAAGCTGGTCCCGAGGCTAGAGAGGTTAAGTAACTTGCTCAAGGTCACACAGCTAATAACTGGCTGAGTCAGATTCCAAGGAGATAGCCAAGCTTCCGTAGGGCCTACTGTTTTCTTAAGATCTAGTGGGTCCCCATTTCCAGGCAACTTTAGTCTGATGGTGAGATTTGGGCTGGGAAGCCTCAAGGATTCTGAGTGGAAGAAAACAATTCCCAGCTAACACTCCCCGGCTCTTCCTCCCTACCGCCCACCCAAGGACATCTTTGGGGAAACATTAGTGGCAAAGTGGGACCTGCTTCTCTGCTGCTGTAAATGAGATACTGAAGGGTGTTTAGGAGTTGAGCCCTTGGGGAGGGGGGGGAGGTAATTGAAGGAATGCTGTCTGAGCAGGTGGAGAAAAAGAGGAAAGGACTAGGGCAACTAAGGTTACCACGTGGACAGTCACATGCTAGGCTCAGCGCTGGGGCTGCTGAGCATACAGGTGCTTCTGGGGGAGGAGTGGGCAGCTGGGTCCAGAGGGCAGCCCGGAGGATGTGGTCTGGGGGGGGGGCTGCCAGTCCCCTGTGCTGGGTGACAGGCCCATCCAGCTGGAGGAGAAGGTAACCCTAAGCAGCTGCTTCCTCAGAGTGTCAATCTTTCACCCTGACCTCAGCTTTCCTCTTTCTGGTAATATCACCGACCTCTTGCCTCTCATTGGGGCACATAACTTCCCCTTTTGACCCCCCTCCCCCCCACCTCTCAGCTTGTGGCTGCAAAAAGTCAGACCATATCACAGTTGATCTAGAAGGGAAAGATGGCTCTGTGGACTCTTTTTTCTTTTTGCAGGTAGACAAAATTTTAGGTCTAGGGAGAAGGACTTCCCTGTGCCAAACCTGGTATATTTTATCTTCACAGAACTCTAGCACGTGGTGAGTGTATTATTTCCACCACCCAGATGGAGGTGTATGGAGAAGGATGACTGGATAACCACCTTCATAGCAGAGAGCATTCAGGCCATCAGAATGTCTGATTAGTAGTCCTCTTCTCCAGTAGTGTTCCTTGGTCCCCTCCCCAAATTTTAGGTGCACCCTCACACCCTTGGGTGCCACAGGCTTTGAGAAGGGAACCCAAAGCTCAGCACCCAGCTGCCCTCTCCTTTGTTTGGCGGGGGTTTGCCATCCTAAACCAGTTCTTCCTGTCCATCTGGGAGCATTCCCCATCTGCCTTCCTGCCACTCCCTCCCTAGCCAATTAAAGGCATCCTTGTTTTGGGAGTTAGGGTTGAAGGGTGGGCAAAGGTGTTGCTGCCCAGGGGCCCAGGCCTCTGACTTGGCACGAGGCCCAGGCAGTTCTGAGGCACTCACCCCCCCCCCCATTCACAGGTGTATGTCAATTTAAAAATATATCTGGTCAGCCTGAGAAATTGCTCTTTGAAGCACACAGAAGTAGGGGTGGGGCGGAAACTTTAAGTGGCCAGTGAGAACTCTTAGGAGCCAAATTACAAAACACCCCTGGGAAAATAGGCCATGCTTTGGAGGGCAGCAAGAGGCTGGAAGGAGGTCCCTTGTCCTTGTGAAGTTGGCGTTCCCTACGTCTAAAACCAAAGCTTTTGAGCTGGATGGTTTCAAGAGCCCTATCCAGAGCTGATACTTGATTAATAATTAAGTACCAACTATTCAAGAAGGTGTGTGGAGACCATCAAGACACCTAAGGCATTCCCCCTTGGGAATTAATATACTCCACGCAAGGGGGGCGGTGCTCCACCCATCTACCCTTAACCTACTTCAAGAACTCTGCTTTTGTTATAGCACTTGGGGAATGTTTGTATGAATGAATAGCTTCATAAATGAACTTCATTCTAAAAGCTACATTGAGGTTGATTGTCTCCCAGGATTCTTTAGATGCATTTTTTTTAATCTTCATTTTTTTACAGGAAACTGATGCTCAGAGCAGTGTAGTGGCTTGCTGAGGTCAGAACCAGGTCCGACCGATAGAGCAAGTTGTCTGGTTAGATTGCCGTAAGGGAACATTCCAGATGAGGAGATAGCTTGCAGATAACCTTGAGTCTTACTTCTGCATTGCTGGCTAACTGATCAAACCATTCTATGTCTGTCTCAATATTTCCATTTTTTTCTTTTCTTTTCTTTTTGGGTGCCAGTATTAGAGCTTCAACTACGCCTGGGCAGCTTTTTCATTTAAGGCTAGCTAGCACTCCACTTTTTTTTTTTTTGGTCGGTTGTGAGGCCTGGCACTGACCCTGCACTCTTCAGCTCAAGGCTAGTGCTCTACCACTTGAGCCACAGCGCCACTTCTGGCCTTTTCTGCTTATGTGGTGCTGAGGAATCGAACCCAGGGCTTCATGCATGCAAGGCAAGCACTCTACCACTGAGCCACCTTCTCAGCCCAGCATTCCACTTTTTAAGAGACTCATGGAGTTTCCTGCCTGGGCTGGCTTTGAACTATGATCCTCAGATCTCAGTGTCCTGAACAGCTAGGATTATAGATGTGAACCAACAGCACCCGGTTTCAATATCCCCAGTTGTAAAATGTGGAGGTTGGAACCATTGCCTTCTAAGAGTCCTTCCTGCCCTGAGGGCCCAGTGTGGAGGGGAGGGGAGTGTTCTTGGCCTCTTTGATAGAATCTGAAAAAAATCCTTGCCTTAGAAGAGAAGTGGGGTGGTCATTGAGCTCCTGCCATCCAAAGCGCCTGGAAACAGGGCTTCTCCAAGGACTTGCAGTGCTGGGGTGACCTGAATGAGGAGCTGAGGGAACCAGGCTGCGCTTCCAGCGCCAGCTCCTGTTGGGAGGAATTGGCTCCTAATTCCTACTTCAGCCTCCTGGCCTGAATGAGTGGATGTGATTTCTGAATGAACCCTTAAAATCAGGAGAAGGGGACAAGCAGGGCTCTGTGAGTCACCGCGGGTTAGCGTGCCTGCCTGAGTCATGACTTTCCTTTAACTTCTTGGCTAATAGGATAGCTCTGTGGTGGGCATGTTGTAATAGACATGAAGGTTTTACCTTGTCCTTGGGGAGTCAAGTATCTTAGCATCCAGGACTTTGAGAGGCCTGGACAGGAAGTACTTGTACTAGGCTCCAAACCTTCACAGCTTTTTGCTCAGATGTGACCTGACATTGAACAAGAGTTCAGGCGATCCTCAAAGTCTATCTTTAGACTTCTACAAAGAAGTTGGCACCTCCTTTTCCCCCTTAAAGCACAACTGAATTTATAAAGCAAAGCTGGTACAGTTCATATTTGCCTCAGGGAAAATCCTACTTTTTCTTGACATTTCTGAGGCCTTCTGACTTAGAGTGTTAAAAAATTGGTTTAGTGTTGGGAAAAATCTAACTATAAGAGGTGTTAAAGCCAGCTCTTATAAGCAACATAATTTTGGACATACTATTTAACCTGTTGGGTTTTATTTTTATTTTTTGTTGGTCATGGGGCTTGAATTCAGGGCCTGGGTACTGTCTCTGAGCTTTTGCACTCCAGGCTAGTGCTCTACCATTTGAGCCAGAACACCACTTCCAGATTTTTCTGAGTAGTTTATTAGGGATAAGAGTCTCACAGACTTTGCTGCCCAGGCTGGCTTTGAACTTCAGTCCTCAGATCTCAGACTCCTGAGTAGCTAGGTGTGAGCTAGGTGTGCTTCCTGGTCTGTAAAGAAATTGGGATCCTCTATTTCTAAAACTTTTCTCTTTTGTTGGTTGTGGAGCTTGAACTTAGGGCCCTGGGCACTGTCTTTGAGCTCCCATTTTTTAGCCACAGAGCCATTACCTGTGGTTAATTGGAGATAAAAAGTTTCATGGACTTTCCTGCTTGGGCTGGCTGGCTTTGAACTAGGATCCTTGGATCTCA